TCTTTTGAAGTATATTTAATATTTCGTTTGGAACAATTTTCTTACTGCTTTCTACAACAAAAGCTGAGAAAAAGATATGACCAAAAGCTATCCCAAAACGAAGCCTTAGTATGATTGGGAATTTCTTGAGATATTTAACAGGTCAAACGTCTTTCAAATTTCAGCATTTCGATGACTTGAAAATCATTTAATAATGATTTTATTCATATATGATGATGTTGGAAAATACACATAGTGGAAGTGTTATCTATGATAAAAATAACTAAATTGATCCCTATAAAAATCTATAAATAGGATATGATTCTTATGCTTAAGGAAGACTTTAAGGGTTCAAATAATTATTAAATTTAGAGAATTTCAAAGCTCTAATTGTACTTTGGAACCCTAATTATCCTACTAATTTTTTTTGCTTTTGTCTATTCAAATCTCTATGTTTTTGTTGGTTGATCAATCTTCATTTATACCTATGGAACCCACCACATTGACAACCTTCGGTCAACACTTAGACATCTGCTTTCGACATTGTCCATTGGTCAGAATTATAGATAATTACAATCATCCAACAATCACAATCGTCAAGCCATTGACACCCTCTTATAACTTGTTTTATGATACTAATGTCTCCCATCATTGTCAAACAATAACAATGACCAATGTTGCCCACCATTCACATTTTAACATCAATACACTTCAACATGCATCATTCTCATTGCATGAAACAATTCAAATGTTTGATGTATTGCAATCCCTCCTCCTCCCATAAGCAAATAAAATATATTGCTGTAATATTCAATCAATATAGTAGAATCATTTCAATTGTGTTTGACTTAATAAAAAATTTTGTTTCAGTTGCATGATGTAGATTATTTCTCTAGGGATATCTGAAAAATGATTTCCTTATTGGTGTAAAAATTCCACACACAATAATATATAAAGAGTATAAAGCCAAAAATTTGGTACTTGTGCATTTATTGAAAAATACAATATGCTTTATTAAACCCATGACTGTGCATCTAGATAATGATTAGAGCCATGCCATGCCTCCTCAATCCATGTTGTTTGCACCATCAAATAGTTATGCTTAATTTGTCATTATTCAATTTATTTATTGGTTAGTGAGAAATTTAAATTATAATTATTAGTATATTAATGATTAGGGTGTGCTTTAAGCATGGGGTTTTTTATTAGAGAGAAAAATCTCAATTAACTCCTCCAATTTAGTTGACTTCAAAGAGTCAAATGCTTTTTCAAGTATATATACATAATGAACTCATATTTAGGATATTTTCAAATGCAATGGCTTGAGATTTTTCAGATGATTTCCATTACGTAGTAATAGTTGGTATTTCATTAAATAAACAACTCAGTGCAAAATAAGCATGTCCTACTATGAAAATAATGGGCATTCACAACATATTTTGAACGATTATTTGTATTACGTTAAAAGCATGTTTATTTTGTGATGGTGGTTGTAACCCTATGTATGTGGTTAAAATTATTCAAAATAAGCTGAGGCAGACCTAATCACAAGCCTTCAGAAGAGAATGTTGTCTCGTTGATAAAGTTGCTAGCTTTAGAAAGTAAAAGCGAGTGCCTCCCTTCGACTTGGGTGAGCAGTTCATTAGGTTTTGACGAGTGGTCCCTTAAGTTGGGGTGATGAGTGTCTTCTCAAGGTAGGGTGTTGTCAAGCTCTACATAGTGATTATATAGGTTGGAATGAGTGTCTTTAATGAGTTTGGGAGACTCCTTGCTGTTACACATGATCTATGAAAAGTCCCTCTAATCTCTGTGGTTCACCTTGATATGCACATTTTGAATTCACTTACAAAAAGTATCCATAGATTCTAAAAGTGAGAGCCAAAATAAAACATTGAATGATGATTAAACTTAATCTTATCAAAATTATCTCACACGAGAGTTTTGCTTGTAAGCATAAGGGTGAGGATCCATTAGACCCTTGGTAATACATTAAGGGTGTAATTTTATGCTTCTCAACCATCTCACACTTTATTTTTAATAGCAAAAACAAAAAAAAATCCCAAGAAAAATGCCAAGTCCAAGCCTAAGAAATTACTAACAAGATGATATTTGCTCATTTAAAGCCCGAAAAACAACCACAAGAAGTAACTCACTATTTTTTTTTTTCAATCTAGAAACTAAATTTGATAAAAATAACACAATAACACAATATCATTAATTTTTTTAAAATAAAGCATAAGCACAATATTTTTTAAAATTAGTAATTAATTTCTTGAAAGAAATAGTACATTTTTAAGAAGTTTTTTAATTTTTCAAATGCATACCTCAAATTTTTCCTTATTTTTCTTTCATTTTGTTTTCTTATTCTACTTTTTAACTCATTATTTTTTGGAGTGCTAATATTCTTTTAATATTGTTTCATCTTCTTCTCTCATATCTAATAGCATTTAAGTGCCTTAATGGCGGGAGAATTAAGTGATCTTTGGCTAGTTGGATTCGATTCATTGAGATGATTGATTTAACTATAATCATGTCATTTTTTATGATCATTTGGACACCCACTTAGTATCCTAAATTTTTTTAATATGCTTCAAGTGTTTAATTTGAGCTTATTCGAATTCGTAAGGGCCATAGTCGAGCAAAGGTGGTCAGATGGATCGTAGTTTGGTGTCATTGGTTCGAGAGACCTTAGTAGGAGAAAAAAGGTATGAGGATCTTAGTTGACGGGTGATTGAGATTGGAGGGACTATAATCGAAGGATAATGGAGGTTGAAATGACTATAGTTAGGCAAAGGTACGATGGACAGAGGACTGTAGTTGGCGGGAAACAATGGCCTAAAGACTATTGTCAAAGGTAGCGTAGTCCGGTGACAGTGGTATGAGCTAGGATCTTAGTCTGGGGGAGAATGTGGCCTAAGGACCACAGTCGATAGACACTATGGTTGAAGGGACTGTAGTTGGGTGACTGAAGTCGGAGGGACTGTATTCAGGCGACGGAGGGCTAGCATAGACCCGTCAGTGGCGGCTGGATGGAGGCTTGAAGACCATGTTTGAGCGGAGATCCACCGGTGGAGGTTGGATGGAGGCTTGACGACAATCAGTCGTTGAAATTCTGGCAACAGTGGTAGGGAGGTCTGGGTTCGCCGATGGTGGTGCTTCTGGATTCATGCCTTAGAGCTCGATTGAATATAGCCCAAGTGTCTTAATTATGCCAGAATTAAGTAATATTGGGCTCGTTGGATTTTTCTTGTTGAGCCACTTGATTCTACTATAAGCATGCTATATTTGGATATCATTTGGTCACCCAATGAATATTCTAAAGCTTGCAAATATGCTTCAAGCTATTGATTTGAGCCCATTTGGGCTCGGATTAGACCAATTTTGGTGTCGTTAGGTCCGTATTCCCAAGATGTTTAGTTTGATTATAAGTTTGCTGAGACCAGAGTTCAAATGACTCAAATTTAATTTTGAAAGTTTCTAATTGAGACATGTCTCGAGATTCATGTTGGATCAATACGATTTTTGTTGACGTATCAACAACCAAGGTTGAGATTTAAGAAAATCTATATATTATCATATGGTTAAATAAGTTTCAGAATCCTAATTTTTACCCATTTGAGCCTCCTAAGGCAATAGAATTCTCATGATATAATCATTCAAGTTGGTATGATTGTTTCAAAAGACATTGTCTCTCTATTTAAATAATCCATCCAAAATGACACAAAAAAATAAATAAAAGTATCTCAAAGCTCTTAACAAAATAAAGTGTATAAACAAAGTTTAGTACTAAAAAATTATTTTAAAAAGCATTAAGAATGTCATCCCAAACAAAGCCTAAATGTTATCTCCTAACAAGGAAGAAAAATGTAATATTTATTTTTTAAAAGAGGAGAAAAACAAAAGGCTGAGCTTGGCGGTGAGAGCTTTCGAAGGACCTGAAGTTTCAATTTCAAATGCATTTCTCCTTCATTTATTTTGAATTTCAGTTTGGGTGATTTCTAGTTAAGAAAAAAAAAACAAATTATGGGTTTAATTTCATTCATTTAAAATGATTTTCTTAAATGAAACTATGGTTGTTAAACCATGCAACTAACATGATAATTAGGGATGCATCATTTGAGAACCTTAGATCAAAATGATGAATCCTAATAACAAGTAATAATTATATTTCATATTAAGGAAAATAAGAATTCCTTATTTTCATATATTTCAGATATAATTCTTTATTTCCATATATTTCTGTTGAGATAAAATAAAAGGTAAAAAGGAGTAATTCAAATATCAAAATCATTAATGAAATTAATTATGTTTAAAGTTAATAATTAATATTTACACACTATTCATGAACCCGGTCTATCCAGGTGACTGCTCCAGAAGAAATCTGATACTGTTCTTCCTATTTCCATCACCATCCGTTGTTGAACGTTACGAGAAAAATATAGTAATTTCTGATCCGAAAATAAAATATATTTTAACTGTTTTTAGTTCTAATTATATGATTAAAACAGCTTAATTGTGGATTAGTAGCGGTCAAATTATCACTGACGGTACACTTAAACCAATGATTTGACCGTATTAGTTTAAACCGCTGCATCACGTGAGTCACGTGACTTCCTTTGATGACGTGCGACTCAGCGCCAGCTGTGCCATGCGATTGGGCCCATAGCCGGGCCCATGGAATACCAGGTGTCAGAAGATGAAGGGTCGCCATCCAAATGCGGCGGCTCGTGATGCGTGTGGTCACGGTGACTGTCACGCGCCGGTAATTACCGGGCACTCCGGTCACACTGTGATTCCGTCCCAGTATTTGTTCGCTTCCGTCTTCCCTACGAGGCTAGTTTAGTTATTAAATAGAATGGTAAGGGTAAAATCGTATTTTGATAAAAAATTAATATATCAGAATTTGTTATATTGTGATTTTTTACTTTTCCATTCCGACCGCTCTTGGGGTCCTATAAAAGAGCAAGTTTTGATACTTCGGCCCTGCTCTCTCTCTCTCTAAGCAAGGAGTGTTAGGCCATTGGTTTTTCTCTGCTTGACTCCATTTTAGTTCACTGTTCGCGCTCTCTCTTACTCTCTGGTTTCGGATATTCTCGGGGAAGAGGAAAGGCAGAGATATCCAAGAAACTGGAAGTCTGTGCGGCTTCTTCAGCGCTTCTCTTCGGTAGTAAAGGACTACGGGTTGCTGCTCCGTTGAAGAGAAGCTGGGTCCTTTTGCGGTAACTATATATTTTGCTTTTTCTTTTCAAGTCAAAGAATTTCTTTCTCTTTGTATGCACCGTTCTCTTCGGAAACATGGGTGTTCTGTGGTGCTTCTTTGTTTCTCTCCTTCTTATATCTAATAATGGAGTTGTGGTCATGTAGTTTCGGAGGAATCCGTAGTGCGTTGGTTTCTTTCTCCGCACGCTCTCCATTCTTTCCTTTGCTTTCCTCGAAATTTCACATTCCACTTTTACCGTGTGATGTCTGCTTTATTTGTGTTTGTTGTGTGCTTTTATGTTCTATACTAATTTGCCTTGCTTTTGATCTTTATTCCTCTGTAAGTTTATCAGAAGAGGAATCCCTCTTTTGGTTTGCTTTCTTCCTCATAAAAGTCTGGTTTTTTTGCTCAGATAATGCTGTTAGTGTAAACAAACACAGAACTGGAAGGCGATGGAAGGTCAATACTTTGCTCCGCTTAATCACACAGTTCACCTCGAAGTGACCTCCAAGCCATTTCGTCCTCAATCTCACCGTCCGGCTATGCCTGCCTTCGCCGGAGCCAACACCATCCGCTTCTTCTGCGACGATATCGACGCAACAGATTCGGACTCCGATTCCGAAGACTGTTCCTTCGATCGACGCCGAGTGAAGCGCTATGTACAAGAGATAAGATTGGAGGAACGGCAAGGGAGGGCTGCTGGTGAAGGTAAAACTGTCAAGGTTAGCGCCGGCAAAAGAAATAAGAAGGGAATAGCTTTGTCGGAAAAGCAGCAGCCCATCACCGGCGTTCCGAGGTTTCGTGGCGTCCGTCGGCGGCCGTGGGGCAAATTCGCTGCCGAGATACGCGACCCAACCCGTCGGGTTCGAGTCTGGCTCGGCACTTACGACACTGCTGAGGAAGCTGCCAAGGTCTACGACTCAGCCGCTATCCAGCTCCGCGGTCCTGACGCTGCCACAAATTTCTCCACCGCTCCGGCGGCGGAGGCACCGCGTCAGGCTCCGGCAAGAAACATTTCCACGACAGACCTCTCCGTCTCCGGCGGGTACGAGTCCAGCGAGGACTCCCACAATATTTGCTCTCCCACCTCCGTCCTCCGTGGATTCTCTTCTTCTACTGCAGTCAAAGACGAACCGGATAAGCCCTCTTCCAGCGGCTCCATCATTACGCCGGAAGATCTCACCGCCGAGCTCAATGTCTTCGACGAAATGCCTCTTTACAGCGACTTTCTGGATCTGAGCGCCACCGAGCCGAGTTTTTTCGACGACCCAATGGGTCAGTTCGGGTATTTTGCGGAGGAATCAGTGATACCCAACACTTGTTTTGACCTTCAATCATCTACTTGTGAACATGGCGACGATTTCTTTGAAGATATCGCCGATTTGTTCCCTCTCGACCCACTCCCTGCCGTTACTATCTTCTAAGCTTAAAAAAATCGGCGGCACCAGCTCGCCGGACGCCGATTCGGCCGATTTTGTAGCGGAGTAGAGGAACTCAAAATTAGCGGCTTTCTTTTTTTAAGAAAATTTATTTGTTTTTATTTGATGTATTTCCCTATCCTCCTGCTGAATTACCTCCGTCAAGTAACGGTGACGTAACGGACGCTCCTGTTTGAAGTTTGAAGTTTGAAAGTTTTTCTTATTTTTTTTGGTAATGCAGCCTAAAAATAAATTTTATTTGTTAACATATTAAGGCCTACTTTGGGACGGCATTTTTAAGGCAGTTTTTTAGTATAAAAATTATAATTTTTCTCTATAAAATTATTTTAAGAAACAGTAAGAAAGCTGAGGATTTGTTTAGGATAGCTTTCTTATTGTTTTTTAAAGTAATTTTTTTAGTATAAAAATTTTAATTTTTATACTAAAAGTTAAATTTAGAAGCAATAAAAAAATCGTCAAGTAATAAAAAAATCGTCTCAAATGAAATTTAAGAAAGTTTGTTTTGAATGACTAATATTTTAAAATTTTGATTGTGAAATTATTACGACTAAAGTAGCTTAACTATTTTGATTGTAAAAAGTAAATTTTCATTAAAAAAAGTTTTTAGAAACATGAAAAAAAAGTAGTCCATGTAAATTATAATTATTTTTTAAAAATCATAATGGTGAGAAAACTAACTTTTAAGGATTCATTTGAGGTTATTGCAGTTTTTTATAAAGATAGTTCTAAAGCTTTTGTGAAAATATTAATTTTTTTAAAAGTTCTCATAAAAAATAACTTTTTATCACAAATTTTTTTGAAAGCGGTGAAATAGTAATTATCAAACAAATATTATGATTGTGATCTGAATTTTTTTTTTTTTGAATGAAAAATCTACTAGCTGTCACCCCCCCATAAGAGGAACTTTTATTTGGTCCGGTGAAAGGATGTAGAGTTACGTTCGGACGGCACTAAATCGCGCCACGTAGCAGACACAAAACCACGTATTTGTCGATTTTGCTCGGCAATAACGAGAAAGACCATTATGTGAAGACAAATACCTAGCAATACCGAGTAATACTGAGTAATACTGAGCAACATCGAGCAATACCGAGTTTTTCTAGAAAAACTCGGTATTGCTCGGCATTGCTCGGTATTACTCGGTATTGGTCTTCACAAAGCAGTATTTCTCGGTATTGCTATTGCCAAGCAATACCGAGCAAATACCGGGTAACTCAGTGATGACCGGACGTAGAGCTACGTCCGGTCACCGGACCTAATAATTGTTCCCATAAGAGGCACATGATGGCCTAACTAATCCCTCGACGATCCTACCCAGCAATCAGCCTCACAGGTGCATGACCCACAATTATTTTCTCGGCACTTAAGAGATCGTGTTTTATGAGAATGGAATCGAATATGGGTTGCGGGTTCACAACCATACTCGCCCACCAATCCAGCTAAGCCCGGTGGGGTGTGACCCTAAGTTTTTGAGTAAGAGTAAGAAATTTGATAATAAAAAAGTAGAAATTTGTTGTTAAGATTGGATCTATGAAAAAACAAAATTCTTAAGCGGTATTTGAAAAATAATTATTGGAATATTTACTGTAAAGAGATTCTGTCTTTTTTAACGAACTGGGACACATGGCAGAACATGATGGGCTCGGGCGTGAATTGCAAGGTATTCTCGCCTTCCCCATTCGCAAGGACGATACGAGAAGTTTGTTTGTGATGTGCTTGTCGGGCAGATTGATAATGGGCTCATCGTACCCCGACCCGGCCCGGCCTGCCCAGCCCGATTAAATTAACTTGCCCGCCAAAATGCCTGCACGCCAAAATACGAAAAACGTAGAAATAATAAGAATAATATTATTATTAAGGAACTCAACAGAACTGTAAAAAAATATATTATTTTGATTTAGATTTAAATTAAAATTTTTTTATTAATTTATTAATATATGACAAGATATGATTTATATGCAATTAAATTGGGATTGATAATTTATTAATTAGCATTATAAATATGATTTATAAATTTATAAATGGTTAACTTGGTATTAGTCATATATTTATTAATGTGATATAATTTTAGAATATTTTAATGTAAATAATATCATAATGGACTTCAAAACTTTAGGTTTATATTAAGATTTATATTATATTTGATATTCTGAATTATACTAATTTCAACCCAAATACAAAAATTTACAATTCCTTAAAAAAAACAAGTTACTATAAGTTGTTTAATGAAATATTGCTAAAAATAATAATTATAAGTAATATTTTATATAGTCTTAATTATGTGCACTACTCTTCCAAAAAATATTAGGCCATATAATTATAATCTTTGATTTTATTTTTTTAAAATATTTATATTATAATATATATAATCTATTTTATTATTAAGCCTCAATTAGTTATAACCCAACATCGTAATAACACTGAGGTAGAATGGCACGTCAAAAAAATAATTTCCTATTATAAATTATCTTTATATAACATATTATCAATGGCGGAGGGAAGGGGGCCCGAGGGAGGGCATGGTCCCTAAAAAATTAATATTTTGTATTTTTTTTGTAGTATTATTATTATTTATTAAATTAAAGGCATAATTAAATTATGACTTTTATCTTTTTAATAATCTTTTTATAGCTATGATTTTTATATAAAAATAAAATTTATTATGAAATTATAATCAAAATTTTATTATGATATATTAAATAGTTTGGCTTAAAATTAATATTTGATTGTATTGATATTTAGATATTATAAGTGAAAAATAGATTTTTTTTTTTTTTGATAATATGTCTACACTACCAAATTTAAAATATACATATTAGTTTGAGAAAAAGTATATTATAATGATATGATTATTTAATTTTAGCATCCTCTCCAATGTTTCATCATAAAATGCAAAATTGGGGTTGTGCTTTGGGGAACAGATGTATGGCTAGCTTTCTCATCAATAAATTATATGCCAATTATCATGTTTATATAAAAATTGATTTAAAAAAAAAACACTAAAAAGGAAATTTTCTTTCAACTATTATTTGATTAATCATTGTTCCATATATGTATGACCTAAAATACTTAACTTTAATTATATCATAATATATAAGCTAAAAATTGATAGAATTGATTTTGAGATTAGTGACATATATGATTTGCACTAATCTTAAAATAAGTATAATAATTTTTATGAAAGCCCATCTTGATATAATTTCTATCAAAATATCCGAACATAATTTTTTTTTCTATTTTAAAGATAATTATAGAATTAATTTTTATATTAATTGTTATCATATGTAACACTAATCTCAGCACATATCCAACGATTATGAATCTCTTCATGACATAATTTGCATCAAAATATCATCCGCCATCATATGCAACACTAATCTCAACACAAATCCAATGATTGTGAATCTCATTTTGAATCAATTTACATCAAAATATAAATTGTATCAAAATATTCTTAGATAATTGTTTTCTATTTTATGATATTTATAGAATCTAAATTCATATTAATTTATATCAACATCCAACCAAATAAAAATTTATAAAATATTAATTACTTTCAGAATATTTTTTTTTTAATTTTAAACAATCAAATGACACTTTAATGTGACTCATTTACAAGACCGTTCTTGTAAAAGATCATTAGCCACATAATCAATAGAATAGGTGAATGTCTTATACAACAAACATTAAAAATTTTAATATTTAAAAAAATAATAATAATATTTAAACATTTATCTATTATATCTACACACATCCCAAGTGGTATATATTTAATAATATCACCTATATTATGATTAATTAAATGCTTAATAAATTAGCTTGTATTGCACACAAATGTACAAGAATTTTAAATCTTAATTTTATTAATAAAAAAATTCAGTGGCATAAATGCAAATTTTCTCAATAAGAAGGCACAAAAATAACCTCATAATATTCCTTTTTTTTAAAATAAACTGTATTAAATTTTAAAAATTATTAAATGCATTTTAAAATAATTATAATATATATCAGTAACTAATTAAAATTTATTTTTTTAATCATCTAAGAAAAATAAGCAATTTTAAAATAAATTTATATCAAATTTTCATCATGATGTTTGACCTAAAAAATTTCAAAATATTTTTTTAAAAAAATATTAATAAAAACTAAATTTGTAATATTATATTTTCAACTTCTATTAGATGATGTGGAATTATAATACCCAACAAAAGAGGCCAATAAAGCTTTCCATTAAAATACGGCATTGCTTCATCAAAGCACACATGTACTAATAAACAAAAGCTTGCTTCCTAATCATCAGACCCATTCTTGCTTAGTGGGCTTTGGAGGTAATTAGAAGTTGATTACTCAATTATTTTAAAAAATATATATTAATGATTTTTTCATTCAATTATAAATTATTTATTATATTTAAGGCCACCTCAATGGCTCAATTCATCATAATTTGTTTTTTTATATGTCATGTTATGATAAACATTTTAGTTGGAAAATAATTAATATTTACTTTAATTTAAAATGTCCATTTTAATTTCAATTAATATTAGCACATGGTTTTGAAGAATAATGAGTTGATAAGAATGTTTCTATTTAATTTTCATTTTCTTAAAAATTATCAAACGATTTCCGGCGGAAATAACGGCCGGAAATATTTTTGGTGAATTTTTTTTGCCTGTAATTATTTTACGATGTGTGCTTTACTAGCAGAAAATTTTTCACTAACAAAAATTCCATTGGAAATCAGCCATTTTTCAGTAGTGATGGATAGAACTTAAAAAAAAAGTCAAATTTTTATTCAAATAATTAAATCCTATTTTTAGATTTTTTTTCTACTAGAAATTAAGTAAAAATTAAGATAAAACCAATTGAAGCCTTAGAGATCTATATCTAGCACAAGGCACAAATATTTCAAGAGAAAATCAAAATAAATATGATAAATAATTATGAGAATAACAATATCAAGCCTTTATCTCACTACTGGGGTTAGCTACATGAATAATTTTTTTTCATTGTGTCATGTTAAGAATCAAATTATCATTTAAATCTAATAAAAAAATGTCATTTATAATATTTTCTAACCAAGCCTTTTTAGGTCTACCTCTACCTTTCTTGACATAGTCAAATCTAATACATCTACTCTCCTAATCCGGTCTTTGGAA